AACGGCCACCAATCATGCGACTAGACACCAGAGGCTACTTAGTCTCTAGACTTCAAATTGGAAATATCTGGGCACTTACTAAATGAAGAGACCCGAGAAAATGTTAACTCCCTGAAAGAGATAAAAAGGAAAAAGTCCCTGAAACCTTGAATTTTGTGTGTCATCCTTTAAATTACACTCCATGTCATGTCAATGTAGAGCATACAGACTCCAGCGTCCTGCAGCCCGTGGCCTGTGAGTTAGCCCCTGGGTGAATTAAAACACGTCTGATACCTCTGCTATTTAATAAGCACCTACTATGTACCAGAATCTATAAAAGGGGTTTTGTCCGTTAGTGTGAAAAACAGTCCTGGGAAGAAGGTTATTATTGTTCCCATTTTGTAGATGAAGAAACTGAGGCTCAAAGGTCGTGGCACAGAACAAATCAGCTGTAGAGCTCAGGCAGGATCCCACTCAAGCTCGCCTGACTCCAAAGCCCTTCAGTCTTTTCCTTTCTGAGCAGAACCACAGTTCCCGGGACCCTAGGCCACCACCAGGGGGACATGGACGTTCACCCAGACTTTCAACCTCCCTGCTGAATCAGCCTGGAGAGAACATGCCTTTAGGAGCTGATTAAACCACAACTTCCGCTCGGCTGAGTTCACACTTTGCTTTCAGAAACAGTAACAGTTCTGGGTGAAAATGCCATAAAAGCCTTTAAGATATAAACTCAAAAGCCAGGGTCAGGATTTTGATGACACATCTTTAAATGTTTTATTATTAAACATGTGACTGGAGGTTTTTCACTGTGTAGCCCACTTGCCTTTTACATATTCTGCCTGTTCACTCTCCCCATAGATCCTGAGTAATGTCCCTACTCCAAATGATTTTCTCCTCAGCACCCGTAACAATTAGAGCTCTAAAACCAGGCTTAAAATAGAGCATGCTTGCCAGTGAATTCATCAAACATTCGGGCTGTGATTTCAGTTAACACAAATATTAACTCTACACCGACATTATGAAGTAGATGCTATTAGTTTTTGTTGTTTGGGGGTTTTTTTTATTGAGTTCAGAGAGGAAGGAAGAGGGAAAGAGAGAGACAGAAACATCAATATGTGAGAGAATCACTGATTGGCTACCTCCTGCACGCCTTT